CCGTTAGGAACTAACCATCTGTCAAGAACCAAAACGAGTCGGTTCCAACAAGCTGCCGTTAGGAACTAACCATCTGTCAAGAACCAAAACGAGTCAGTTCCAACAAGCTGCCTTCATACGAAAATATAGTGAACACACATCAGAAAGATGTTTTTCACAACACTTCTTCCATAGACCCCTTGGACCCCTCCAGGGGCGCTGCTCCCTTGACCCCCGCCTTTTGGTTGTACCGGGATCAATCTAGTCTTATACAAGTGTGCGCTCCACACCTCCTAACTTGCATAAAAAACTAAGTAAAGATCCCCTTTAGCTCTCGTATATTTACCCCTTACACCAAATGAAACCGGTGACGCTAAAATCACCAACAGAATTCATGGCACCAATTTACACACTCCTGTGACTTGACTCATAATTTAAAAGAAATGTTTCAAATGAGGAAGAAATCATCCAGGGGAAGTGTTTTTGTGCAGTGGCGAGGTTGAAAAATCGTCCGGGGGTGACTGTGTTTACTCTAACGACAAGCAACAGGGATGCCATGAAAGATCGAATATATACCGAGTTGACAGACAAGTTGGTTTAACCGTTTTTCCCCCCGGTGAACTTATAAAAAATGTAGTCAGTTTGTTTATCATAGAAACCACCTCCCAGATCTGCAAAATGAAATTTGCAGCAGTCTATTTTCATTTGTTCCTTTTTCGGTGTGATTTTGAGATGAGACTGAATATTCTTTTTGTAAGTTTCTCGTTCTCTTATAACTTTTATCATCTGTGTATTGATACGTATTTAAAATGGGCAATATGTTAAACTCAAATTGTATCGGAATGAAACCAACTTTGAGTTAATTTCTATTTGAATAATCAACTTCCAAAACATTTTTTTTTTGTCCAAAAGCAAACCTTGCAAACAATTCAAGATCTGTGAGGGTGTGTTTGGTATGTTGGATAGGACAGGACAAGATAAAATATAACAAAGATCTCTGTCCACGTTTGGCAAGACTTGGAACAGACAAAACCAGAGTGGAATAGACCTGTTCCACCCTTACCCCATGGAACTAGTGGAACAAACTTATATTTTACCGATATAACCTCAAAATAAAACTTAATTCTCTTTTAAAATATTAAATAGGTCTCAATTTTATATTTTATTTATTCTTTAAATTTTATTTATTCTATTTTATGTTTTTTAAAAGTTTATTTTATTGTCCTCAAAATATTATTCTTATACCGTTT